AACTGGTATATTGCTTTGAATTTACTCAACTCAGTTAAGTGGAACCAGGTCACATAACATGGTTAAGTAAATCCAACATTTCATTTTTTACAGTGTAGCCTCATTTATCCAAAAACATATTCATGTATTGCATTAAAATTCAGTCAAAACAGCTAACTTGCCAAAAACATTGCCAACTGTATATTATAACACAAATCTAGCAGTGATGTTTTCAAACATATAAATCTGTGGGAAAAAAAATGCTACTTTGTATTGACATCAATCACACTTGTCTTATTCTGTAAACTCCTTGGCACTGATTTAGACTGTGCGCTCTGACTGAATGTATTTTTGTGTGTTTTTGGGTGTTCATTAACCACTTTCTATATTTACGTGTATAGGAATTCCCAAATGTTTCCCCTAACAGTTAGTGGAGGTCAGCCTTGTAACTAGGCTAATAGACTAATTACTACAGAGGTTTCCTACAAGCACACACACACAAAAAAAAATCTCACTTGGTTTTTATTTCAATATATGCATCATAATTACCATGCAAATTAAAAACGCTTCATTTGTAACTCGCTGTTAGGCAATAACAAACACATAAAATAACCTAACTGAACAGGAAGAAATGGAGATTTAGTCTTAATATCCCATTTGTTATTCTGTAACATCTTTCTTAAGATGAGTAATATGCACTGCAATCCTAAAGAGATTCTCATATTACTGGTTAAAAAATTTGCATAGAAGAGTAGTAATTAGATACGTTGACAAACAGCATCCTAAATGTATTCTCGTGCCTCTCCTCAGTCTTTTCACACTCTGCCAGTAGACGAAAGCAGAGCAGCAACAAGACAAGAAGTGCAATTAAACAGCTACTGTCATTTTAATATTTTAAGTCCTATCTCATAAACCGGACATTTAAAAATGTTTGAGTCCATAAATACTGCATCAGTAAACAGCTACATTTTTACAGTGCTGGAAAGGTTGTGGATGTGTTGCAAATTAACATTATTTAGTTTAATAATAAAACATTAATTTAAAAATAAAGTCAACTCAGGTTGCAGTACATGAATAAATTCAATTCAAACCACTGCTTTCTAATTCAATTTAGTCTAATTTAATTTTATTATAATTTCATTTTGCACAGATTCAGTTGAATCTAGTTTAATAAGTGTAATATATTGGATGCTGCACAAAATTAAAGCTTTGAAAAAACAGCACACACACATTTGTTCTTCTATCCTCATGGGGACTTTTAATTGACTTCTGCTCATTTCTATAGCCTAACCCTAAGCTAAACTTAACTCACACTTCATTCCTAGCCCTAACCCCTGACCCACCAATGGTATTTTCCACAATGGGAACTGGCATTTTGTCCCCATAAAGAACAGTGGGTCCTCATGAGGTTGGGAAAATGGTCAAAAATCGTCCTATAGGTAACAAAAATATGTGTATACACACCCACACACTGTGTTTTTCTATGTATTTAGTATGAGATTTTTTTAATTGCTTCTTTATTCGTAACGTATATGACTAGAACTCATGTGCAAATTTACTTTTTATCTTTTCAAAAATAAAAATAAAAATATTTGCCTAAACAACTTCTATTAATCAATGTCTCTTGATCACAATTTAAAACATTCACTTCATCTGTCAAAGTTAACAAAATATTCGTTCAATGTCTGTTTTGTCATTGGCCCACATAAACAACCAGCTTCTGAACATGTTTACAGTGTGTGCCAGTATGTGTGTGTCATTGTGCAGAATCTAAAGGAGATCACAGTTTTTACAGGAGTGTGCATCTGTGTGACTTTCAGAGGTGCTGTTTTGTCTCTGATGGAGGTGTTCACAGACTCTGTCCATTACATAGAGTGCTGCTATTTTGCTCCACATTGCATGTTATCAGAGGTGCTGGAGACACTGTGTGAATCAGTCTGTGCTCATAAATATACACACACTGGCACACACACACACACAGAATAGGACCACTCTTATCTCCCTATAATTCAACACATCTATTCACTCTGGCTCCACCTTCACAGTCTGTTTCTATAAACAGAATCCAGTGGGTTGTCTAATCTCTTTTAGTCATCCAGCTGAGGAAATCCTTTATCAAAGGTTATTATTATTTTTGTGTGACATAAAAAGTTAGTTTCCTGGTGGAAATACAGCAGTTACAGAAAGACATTATGTGCTCACATGTCTTACCTGAGTCTCAGACATGACGTAAAGGTAGTGGTGATCAGAGGAGAAGGCCATGTCTCTCAGGATGGGTCCACTCTCCACAGCTTGTACAGTCTCATACTGAAGAGCACGAGATGAACCATCAACTCGGATCTGAAATGAAAGGAGAATGTTAAAATCATCATGGGATCATAAGTCCGTCAGGATCATGAGTCTGTCGTGTCTGTTTTCATTGTATTTTTTTTCTGCATGGCGTCTTGCTTTTATTTTTTATTATTATCTTATGTCATCTTTATAATTTTGTACAGTAATTTTTATTTTATTCTATTTTTAATTTTTATTATTATAACTTTTATTCTATTATTTTGCTACAGCTGATAATGTCACATAGCAATATACTGTTTTGTGGATTGATGTATTTATCTGCTGCTGCTGTTACACCTGAATTTCCCCGGCGCGGGACCACAAAGGCTGTTTCTATTCTATTCTATTCTATTCTATTCTATTCTATTCTATTCTA